CGGTTAAAGGGTTAAACGTACAATATCTATCTCCGTATTGCTGTGACCCATATTGCACACTACGCATCCGTTCTTCATCTTGTCCATATGTTCACGCGTAACTACGTTTTTATTGCCTGTCGCTGTTATTACGATGTCTACGTTCCTTATAACCTCGTTCAGTTTCATCACCCTGAACCCGTCCATACTGCAAAGGAAACACTTGCGAATTAATTTGTTGTAAAGCTCTATACGCTTCCGAGAATTTACCTAGCTTGCAAAGCACAGATCGGGTCGATTTCGGTTATATAAACAATACATCCTAAGCCTTTGAGAGCCTGGCAACAGCCTTTACCGACTTCGCCGTAGCCACAAATAACAACTTGCTTGCCACCAAACATGATGTCTGTGGACCTTTTCAAACTGACGAACGATAAATTAAAGTAATTAAGGATTATGCACATTATCTATCTCTGGTTACGCCTAATTAATTTACCTATCGATAATACTTTCGCGGCAACTGTAAAGATTGTCGAACTTGGTCTTTGTCACGCTATCATTGACATTCATAGCAGGGACGGATAATTTACCTGCTTTCGATAATTGGTACAATCTGTGTACTCCTGTCACACTTTCTTCAACAATCCCTACAAGCGAACATTATTGTTAATCACTCATTTTTTCTCTACATTACGTTCGGTGAAACGAACAGCAAAGAAACCTTGAATCATCTTAAACATGGCATTATATTTTTTGAGCATCAAATGAGTTGCATCGCCGCCGTCATCCAATATCATATTCGGTTGCCAGTTCTCTGCTGCTACACATTTATCAATACACCACCAGAAATCTTCTTCCGTTTCACCGCGCCAGGCAAATATTGGATAACCGGCGTGTGCAAGCGCAGCAGCCACTTCGTTCTGTGTGGAATATATATTGCATGCTGCCCATCTAACTTGCGCTCCCAAATGTACTAAAGTTTCAATTAGGACAGCGGTTTGAGCATTGATATGAGTGCATCCCACGATTTTTGCATTCTTCAAGGGCTGTTCAAACAAAATATGAGCTCTACTATTGCTTAACAGTACTT